AAAAAAAAAAAAAAAAAAAAAAAAAAAAAAAAAAAAAAAAAAAAAAAAAAAAAAAAAAAAAAGTTTAATATAAATGAAGAGGAACTGGTGGTCTACTTTCTTTTAAGATCCCAGGAAGAGAAACCAAACGCCTCTGGTGGCGCGTGGGCGGCGAGTGGAGGAGACGCGGCGGCCAGTGAAGAGTGGGCGGCGGCGGCGGCGGTGGTGGCTGGGAAATGGGTTCTCGAGAGAGAAAGAAAGCAGCAGCTTCGTCTCTGAATCATCACAAGTCTAAAGAATTTCGTGCCTCCACAAGCTCTAGTGCTGTACTTCCTTATAACCTTACAAATTTCATGCTTTTCATTTGAAAATTTTCTAAATTTTGTTTATCGATCGAATCGAATCTCGGTTTCGTCCATTTAAAATCACGAACAAACACCGTGTTCGTTTCGAAATTTCTCTCGTTCTATCAAATTTTCACATCAGTTTTGATTCAATTCGATTGATTTATATCTAAAGTCGAGCAACTTCACCCCTTTCCTTTACACATATTCTACTCGTACCCTTCACCTTTCGGGTATTTTCCAACAAAAATCAAGTTTTTTTATTATTTTTTTTTAATTTTATGAGACGGGATTTGATCATGTGCAGGTGGTGAACGTGGAGAATTTAGAGAGAGGATTTCTAATAAACGTGTTTTCAGAAAGGAATTCACCGGGATTATTGGTTCAGATTCTAGAAGCCTTTGAAAAACTAGGACTTGAAGTTCTCGATGCAGACGTGTCTTGTTCTGATTGTTTTCAACTTCAAGCTGTTGGAGAAGAGGTCGGTTTAGTCTCTTTAATATCACGAGTTAAAATATAAATTTTTGAAATCAAAATTGTCGTTTTTTGACGTACGAAGATCGATATGTATAATATTTTGGATGGTTTTTGGCAGAATGAAGGCACCAAAATCATAAAGGCTCAAGTGGTGAAAAATGCAGTGAAGCAAGCAATCAAGGAATGGAGTGAAAGTAATGGGCAAGCATAAATTATATATATTACCATTTTTTATTTTCCCTATTTTTATTTTATTTTATTTTATTTTTCTCCCTTTTTTTTCCCAACATTATATAAAAAAAATTCAATAAAAAAATCATTTAAATTACTCGACTCGAATCAATTTTTATATAAATACAATTTAATTTTAATATAACGAATCAAATTTTATCAAATTCGGATTCTTAATTTAATTAAGTGTTACAATTTTCGCTAACTTATTCACAAATTTTAATATAAAACAATATAAAAATCTTCATAAACTGCTAATTTCATTAATATAAAGAAAAATAGCTCTAAATTATTTCTCTCTCAAATTTTATCAATAATTATTGAATATATAAGAGATTTTCTTATTTCCGTGGCATTTTTTAAAAAAATTAAAGAATTATATATTTTAATATTGAAAAATAAGAAACTCGAGTGAGTAACTTTTAATAATATATTTGTAACAATTTATAAATTTGTATTCGTTAATTATAGGTCACTTTACTGTAAATCTAGACTAATACTCATAGTGGAATAAATTGTGTCTATGAATATAATTATTATAGGTAAGTTTAAGGAGCCGTTCATAATTACAGTTGAGTTAAAAACCCATTTTATCCCTTTAAGAACTACTCATGAACAATTTATTCATGATTCAATGAAAAATAGTAAATTTTATCTTGTGAAATTATTTTGAAACTCTCTGGGCCCAAAAGGGTAAACATGTTGATTCAACTATAAAAGTCATTTTTGGTTCAGACAAATCAAGTAGGCACGAGTTTTATTACTCACTCTAGATTAAAATTGAGTCACATATGACCATCGCATAAAATATTTATCTTCTTAAAACTACAAGATTTCATGTGCGTGTTTTTTAACAAATAAAAATTAATTAGAATGTTGAAGAAATTTGTGCTCGGAATTGTAGTGACTCAAAACAAAAATTGGGTCTCGAACACGATCAGATTGCTCTAGGTCACTACCACACCCGTCTGGTAATGCACCATATACTTTTAATCAATATATTAGATATAAATTTAATTTATTTTTTTTTAGGTCTAATAAATCTCCCATTTTTAATTTTTAATTTTTAATTTAATAAGAAAAAATATGAAAAGAAAAAACAAAGGTGGGGGCAAAATAGGAATGCAATGGGAAAAAACACAAATGGGCCAATAGAACCGGTCCAATAATCTATCTATTTGAGATAGGCCCATATATTGATATCTGTATCCAATCCAAATGGGCCTGGTCCAACATTATAAATAGTTAATTGGGCTTTGTTAACACTTTGGGCCGTCTCACCAATTGACTTGTTGAGTGCTCCCCCGGTTTTCTGATACAGGCGGAGGAAATCCAAGCATTTCCGTTGGCTGCCGGCAAACAAGAAACAGCGGTGGTTTTTTTCTTCTTCGTCAACAAAGAATCAAGGGAGAGGATCCGTCTCAGTTTTTTATAAAGGAGAAGCTTCATTAATCATGGATGCTACACAAAACTTCAGTGTTCTGTTTCAAACGATTTGGTTGAGAGGCTGTTGTTTGACCATCAGGGAGAAGAATTCGAGAGAGATAACGAACGATTGTAATGTGGAGGAGTTTCGTACTGACGAGAAGATGCATTTCAACTTCTGCTTCGAAGGCTCCTAGTCTCGGATGGTTCGATCATGTGAAACCGGCTCCGAAGGATCCAATCATCGGTGTTACGGAGGCTTTCTTGGCTGATTCGAGCCCTAACAAGATCAACCTTGGAGTGGTAATGAACTAACTCTGTTATTTCTTTGATCGCGGTGTTTATTTGGAGTTCATGGAATATTTTCGTGATTTTCATCCTTGAAGGGAGCTTATCGGGACGATGAGGGGAAACCGGTTGTGCTTCAATGTGTTAGGGATGCTGAATCGAAAATTTCCGGGAGCGAGTTTTTGTAAGTTCCAGTGCTTTGTTTAGATGGAAAAACTTGCGAGGTTTAGTTTTCTGGTTTGCTGAGTCTTGCATTTATTTTCTTTACAATTTTAGAGAGTCAATTTCTGCTGCGGTGAGTTCAACATTTGTGGAGGAGAGTGTTAAGTTGATTTATGGAAAGGATTCAGATGTTATCAAGAAACGGAGATTTGCTGGACTTCAGGCACTTTCTGGAACTGGAGCATGCCGACTGTTTGCTGAATTTCAGAGGCATTTCCATCCCGATGTTCCAATTTTCTTGCCTGAACCAACTTGGTCTAAGTAAGTCCCTGTTTATGGTCCAATTTTCTCAATATTTCTCTTTCACTCTCTCTTAAATTTACTACTGACCTGCAGCCACCACAACATTTGGCGAGATGCTCAAGTGCCAGTGAGATCCTACCGCTACTATCATCCGGATTCTAAGGGTTTAAATTTTGGAGCATTCATGGATGATATCAAGGTATGATCGAAAATTTTCTAAGATTTCTATCTAAATCCCCAGTATTCATTTTAGTGTTCGTTTTTAGTTTGTCAATGATTATTTAACATAATTTTGAATTCATCTTAAATTCAAATCTGACCTGCTTCAAGTATTTGTGTGGATTTATACTCAAGAGTTTAATGTTTGTTATATGTCTGTTACGTTCTTATTTGATGTAGAATGCCCCAGAAAGTTCTTTCTTCCTGCTCCATCCTTGTGCTCACAACCCAACTGGCGTCGACCCAACGGATGAACAATGGCGAGAAATTTCAAATCAGTTGATGGTAGTTGCTAAGAATTTGATGGTCCAATTCAACCATTGCATGATTATTGTAGAGAATGATATGACTTAATTCTAACTTTGCCTGCCAGGTGAAACATCACTTTCCCTTCTTTGACATGGCGTATCAAGGTTTTGCCAGTGGAGATCTTGAAGAGGATGCCAAAGCTATACGGCTATTTCATGAAGATGGACATTTAGTTGGATGTGCTCAATCCTTCGCCAAGAATATGGGTTTATATGGACACCGGGTTGGTTGTCTAAGGTTAGTTTATATTGACTGAACTTTAGATTGTTATCAATAAGAAGAGGATATTGGGTAGTGTAAAGTAATTGTCTTGTGCTATTAATGGAAGTACTCATAAAATGACAAGAATTTTATAACATGGATATTCTCAATTACATTTAAGAAGAGAGAGAAATGTTTGATCACTTGGTCCAAGCAACATGGTGTGTTTGAACACTTCCTAATGATTGCATTTTGGTCCATATAGATCGTTTATTTATGGTCTTTTTTTTCTCTGTTAAGTTTAAACCCATGAAGTTCGCAAATTTGAACTTTTCGCCTCTTGGTCGATGACATATGTTGAGCTATGCCCAAGTTAATTAACTTTTAATTGTGGTTTAGCCATCGTGTAAATACATGATAATTGAGTCCTTGATTTTTGTTGGTAGTGAGGCATATAAATAGACAAATAATTGATTTTTTTTTTTTTTTGTTTTTTCTTGCAATTAGGCATATAAATAGACAAATAGTTGAGTTAAGCTGATTGTCCAATCAAAATATTAATTAAAAACTTAACTCAAAGGCTTAATTTTATATTTTAAAATATGAAAAAAACTAAATTGGGTTACAAAAATCAAAATACTGAGGTAAAGTGTATTGAAGCTCGTTCCATTTTAAGGAATTATCCCTTTGGCATGCCCATAATTCTGGTAAATTTGGGTTTATAAGCTATGAGATAGGATAGGAGTTAGCATGGTCTTAACTCTTGGGGCCTTTATCTTATTTTTTGAATGGGTTGCATCAAATTTAGATCTTGACCTCTGCCTCTTGCCTGTTAGAATTCTTACATTACATCTCTTAACTCAAATTTCCCCCAATTTCAAGTGTTCTTGGCAAAGATCAACAGCAAGCGATGATAGTAAGATCTCAGCTTCAGCGACTGGCCAGAGCAATGTATAGCAGCCCTCCCATTCATGGTGTGTTATTAGTCTCAACAATCTTGAGTGATCCACTTCTGAAAGCTGAATGGATTGAAGAACTGAAGGTAATGGATGAATAATTTTGTACCTTCTTGATTGATTCCTTGGAGGATACTGATTCTGATGTGCTTTTGATCCTCCTGCATTTTTAAGGTCATGGCTGATCGCATTCGATCTATGAGAGCTAGTTTATTTGATAACCTTGAGAAATTGAATTCTCCTCTCAATTGGGACCACGTAGTCAAGCAGGTCAGTTATGAGTTTGATATTACAATCTTGGCTAAGTTGCATTTCTATTCCTCAATATCCTTGTTTTTAGAACTCTTATTATCATTGCATTCTAAAGTATGATCTCGTTGACCCATATGCCATTACATTAAAATAAGACGATATCATAAAAATTCATCCGTCACATTCTGGGTTTTTTCATTACAATGATGGTAGTATATGGAGATTTGAACCCTCGACCTTAACGAAAAGTGTGAGAATCCCACATTAGTTGGGGAGGAGAACAAACACTCTTTATAAGGGTGGAAACCTTTCCCTAGCAAATGTGTGTTAATGCCTTGAGGGGAAGCCCGAAAGGGAAAGCCTAAAGAGGACAATATTTGCTAGTGGTGGGCTTGGGCTTATGCCGTTACAAATGGTATTAGGGTCAGATACTGGACGATGTGTCAGCGGAGGCTGTTTCCCGAAGGATGTTGGCCCCGAAGGGGGGTGAATTTTGTGGGAGTCCCACATCGATTGGAGAAATAAACAAGTGTTAGGGATGACGCTGGGCCCCGAAGGGAAGTGGATTGTGAGAATCCCACGTTGGTTGGAGAGAAGAATGAAACACCCTTTAGAACGATGTGGAAACCTTTCACTGGCAGACGCTCTTTAAAGCCTTGAAAGGAAGCTCGAAAGGGAAAGCCGAAAGAGGACAATATTTGCTAGCGGTGGGCTTAGGCCGTTACAAAAAAGAGTTCGTGCTAACTGAGTTACACTAATCTTGGTGTCATATTCTGGATTTTTGTTTCATTGGTTTACAAGAATGACATCTTGTAAATTAGATTGATGAGACTTTATAAGATATTGAGAGATCATATGAGCATATTGGTCAAAACTATTGAAACATGATTCTGTTCAAGATGTTTAATATTTATGTATTGACATTATTGTAACATGATGTAGGTTGGAATGTTTTGCTATTCTGGATTGAACTGCGAGCAGATTGATCAGCTGGCGACAGATTTTCATATATACATGACTCGGGATGGACGTATGAGGTACCTCTAACAACATTACTAAACTAAAAAAAACATCATTTTCGTCCTTATACTTTGAATTTTATTCAATTTTAATCAGTATCTTCTTATATTTTTTTAAAAAATTAATAGGGACTATTAGACATTTGAAAGTATAGAGAATTAAGATAGAAAAGTTTCAAATACATGGATCAAAATAGTATTTTAACGGAAAAAAAAACAATTATTCACTTACGATTGTGGTTTTTGGGGCAGCATGGCAGGTGTGACGACAAGAAACGTAAGCTATATAGCGAGTGCAATGCATCAAGTGAGTAATTACGATCCAGAGTCTTTAAATGTCTCCAATGTTAGTTTTTAGTGGCTTCAACGTAAGAATAGTTCAATTGATTAGGTTTAGTGTCTTACTGTTCAAATCTTCCTATTCTCAATTGTATAGCTCAGCCAATCAAACAATCACACACGTCTTGAATGATATTTATTGTTAAAAAATAAAAACAAAACATATAAAGGATATTCATATAATTTAACCTAGAATTAAATTTAGAAGATAATATTTAATATAAAAAAAAACGTAAAATTGAAATGTAATAAAATTAATGAAGAGGTTGATGTAGTTAAAAGTGTGTGGGACCAAAATAAATTTAAGCGATGGAAGGAATATATGATATTATGGGTATAAATGAATGTCTGATAAGACGTGCGGTGGGTCCTGCCTCAAATTTATCAACCATACCAACTAATTTAATTTACCAAATTCAAAAATTCATTCTTATAATATATTTATAAATCATCAAATTATTTACATTATTATCCACCAAATATTAGGTTCAGTATAATTAATTATTATTAATAATTCAATTATGAACGTGACGTGGAAATCAACTTAAGAGAAAGTATGAAACGGAAACTCATTTCTAAACTCATGATTCGAATCACCCTATTAGAGGTTTGATCAATACCACTTGAATGATTCTAGTATGCAAGTTTTAAACGCAGAATTTGCAAAGATATGCAAGTTTTAAACGCAGAATTTGCAAAGAAATTCGGAGCTAAAAAGTGAAATTCTATTTTTTTTTAAATTAAAAAAATGTGATGTCTCTAATTAAAGAAAAGAAGGTTTTATATAGTTAGTAAGAAATACTCGTAAAAACAAGTAAATATTTAAATTATAATTAAATAGTGCAATTAATAAAATGTGCTTATTAGTCATCGGACTAGTTCCATATTTACTTGAGTTCATTAAATGCAACGTAAGGTGCATTTAATGTATCTCTTTCTTGAAGCTCAACTTTGCACAACATATAAGGGAGGTCTCTAACGTCTTCTAGAATTTTCTTTGATGAGCTCACCATAGCTTGAATATCAGTGTACTGGGTTTGTTGTAGCTTTTTGGCTCTCGTCCTTATAGTTTGACCTTAAGATATGTAAATTCCTTGATCGTGGTTTATATAAGAATGTGTTTAGTAAAAAATCGTGTATAATTATTATTTTATAATATCATACCATTTACAATATAATATATTATATTATATGTAAATCAACAACAAGTACTATATTTTAAAGCATAAATATACCTTTTAAATTTAAAATGTGTTTATTTTAAAATGTGGTTTTCAGTTTATCATCTTAAAGTTATTTTTGGATAATCCACCTTGGATGTTTTTTTTAAAAAAAAAATTAATTAAAACCTTTTCTTACCGTTTCTTATTTATTAGAATTTAAGGTTAAAATATTAATTTGATTATATTCTATTACAAATTTAGTTTTTGAACTTAAAATTAGTAAATAATAATAATTTTCAGATAAAAAAGAACAATTGTGAACCTATAAAGATAATGCTATTATTTAAAAAAATAAATATTTGTAGAAATTATTTTAAAATATATTGAAAGTACACCAATTAAAATTTTAAATTTGAAAGCACATGGAATCTAAAATCAGTTTGTAAGCTTGAAGTTATTAATTTTTTTCCAAATATGTAGGAGTACGAAAATTAAAATTTTCTGCCATATTCACATAAATAGTATTTAATTGAAATATTGGATATTGAAAATTTAGAAAGGATCAAGTTTTAATTAAATATGTTGATGGTAACATATACCTATTTTCTTGGATTTACATCAAATTTGTAGGAAGAATCTTTGTATGAATCTATTTATTATTGCATCTCAAAAAATAAGTATTAAAATAGGCGAACATGTGGGATCCTGCATTGGTAGGAGAGGGGAACGAACATTTTTTTTTATAAGGATATAAAAATCTCTCTCTTAGTAGACGCGTTTTAAAAATATGAGGCTGACGACAATATATAACGAATCAAATGAGACAATATCTAACGGCAGTGGACTTGAATTATTACACAATAAGTATAATTTGAGTGAAAGAGCGTTAATATTGAATATTATTTTAATTTATTGTCGAGAAAATATTTAATAAAATAAATAGTTAGTGGTTTGAGTAGCTTTGGTGCCACTTTTTTGTTCTTGGGTTTTTATATTCTTATTTATTTATTTTACTTATTTTTCGTTTGCTTTTGTTTTGCTTCACTCAAATTCTAAGCTTTCGCCTTTCCTTATTTTATAATTTTTCTATCATATTATTTGTCTCATTTTTGTAGTTATTGGCTTTTTTTTTTTTCAAAACAAAAAAGGGTTTATGAGGAAAAAAAAAAAGTTTGACCATTTTATTTGGGAGAAAAATTGTAATTTTTATCGTTAAAATGAATATAATTCAACGATCATGCTTGTCCAAAGCATGTTGCTTATGGCCGCATGACAGATGTCCTAGTCTTGCTTGTTCGGGTCTGCTGACAGGGACGTCAACCAATTGAGTGGGGGAAGATGTCACAGTCATGCATGTTCAAGGCGTGTTGTCAATGGCCGTATGACAGATATCCTGGTCTTATTTGTCCAAGACGTGTTGTCCATGGTTGTCTGTTCCAAACCCCTTTTACATGCTTTCATCCTACATAGGTCTTTACCATTCTATATTGTGTCACCAAAATCATGTCTACACGCTACAATGCCTCAAAATGTATTATAGAGGATATGACTAGTTGTCAGCTTTTTCTTACTTCATAGTTATATATAGTAAACTGTTCTTGTTGCTATTTTGCTTCCATTCCAATATAACACCATTTCCAATTTCTCAAATTTTGCTTTCAAAACTCTCTTTCGAAATCTCTCTGCCTCCGTTTTCTAAAACTTTATTCTTGAGCTAGGGCCAGAGGTTCGAGCATACGTCGATTGACCGTAGGCAACACAAGAACAATTGATATATATTTTTTTTAGATAAAAAAATGTAGAGTAAAAAGAATTTAGAATTTAGATTATATTAATGATAATTATTTTTAAAAATTTTTAAAATATTAATGAATTTTTTTTGAAAGTTTAAAGAATATTTTTTTAAAAAACTTCTAATTATTTCCATATTAATAGTATTTTTTAAAAATTAAGTCAATTTTTTAAACTGTTTAATGATATTTTATATAATTTAGTTTTTTTTTTTTCACTCGGAAAGAATCTCCCACTCACAGGTAAGTTTTATCCATGGTAAAATTAAATTTCTAAAAAAATGGTAAAAGTAAAAGTAAAAAAGATATACAAGGGAAAAAATATTTCTAATAAAAAATAATTAGTCTTAAAAAAGATGATTAGTTTTATTATTATTATTATTATTATTATTATTATTTTTACAAATTTTCAACCAACCCCTTTGGCCTTATCGATACCATACATTAAATGAACATAACAATTATTCTAAAGATTTACTCCGATTAAGATTCCGATTCCGATTCAGATTCAGAACCAGCGAAGATTGTCAATCTCACCGCCGCTCATCTACCGATTCCGAAACAAAGCACTGAGCCGGAGGCCGCCGCATCCTCTCCCTCCTTCGAACGCGAGACTCCGAGCGCAAACCGCCGCGCCGAACGGCGTCCGGCGAACTTCGCACCGACGGCCGAGTCGAACGTCGATCCGAAAGACGGCAATGACGCCGATTTAGAAACCGGCGGCGTCAACAGATCGAGTTTCCTCTTGTGATTGAAGAAGATATGGAAAAGAGAGAGCGATTTGGAGCGGTTTTTTGGCGGTTTTTGAAGAGAATGAGAAAAGTAAGAAGGAGGAGGAGTGAGAGGAGGAGTTAGATCATCGGAAAATCGGTGAAGAGGCGTACCTGGCTGAGACTCCCAAACGAAAGGAACAGCACCGGCCAATCCGCCATAGTAGATTCTTGAAGAGTGATTGGCTCTGGAACTTTCTCTGGTGAGAAGCTTGGAGAAGAATTTGTCGTTGTGCTTGAATTGAAGCGATTTCGGAGGATAATCGGAGGTTTCACAGAGCATAATTGTAAGTTTTCTGAAACGGAATCTCTGAATTTGCGATCTGATCTCTGCGTGTTCTGTTGAGGGAGGCCATTGTTTAGGGTCCCCTCAACTCTGTATATATGTGCCTCTCTACACGCCCTGTGGTCCCCACCTACAAAAAGCCCCTTTTTCTTTTTTTCTTTTTTATTTATATAAATAATTCAAATTACAAAAAATTAAAACACTTTTCGGATCTAAATTATTTGTTTTTTTTTTTAATTTCATTTTATATATTTAAAATGATCAAATTCATTAATTAATATTTGGAAAATATATTAAATTAAAAATATAAAATTTCAAAATTTAAATAATAATAATAAAAAAAAAAAAAAAATTATTAATGTTTTCAAAGGGCTTATAAAATATAAAAAGTTTTTGAGTTTGAAGACGTTTTATTATTATTTTGTTATTATAGTAAAAAAAAATAGAAAATATTTCTTTGGATACAAAAATTAATTTATCACATTTTCATAAATTTGAGTAATTTTTTTTTTATCATCTCTATTTATTATTATCGACTTATTTAGTAAGAATTATCTAAATTAATTCAAAACCATATAATTATAACTTTAGGTTTTTAATCACTTTCAATCTTTATTTCTCATTGGGTTACACAAATAAATAAATAAATATGATATAATTTAATAATTATATGGAATTATCAGTACTTAAAATAATAATTTATATTTCATGAGTGACTTAATAATTTTTTAATTGATTGACCAAGATCAATAATAATATTTGAAATATGGTGACATTTTTAGTTTTGTAGTTGAAAAGTAGGTAAATAATATATATAATTTTTATATGAATTAGTTGAAGGATTAAAAAAACTCTACCAACTTAAAATTATTATCAATATAAAACAATATCAGATACTATCATCACTTAAACTTAATTTTTATTTAAATAATTCATAACTAATTCATAACCGTACAAAATCAGATCGAAAATAATATATCTACGTTCAATAGTTCTCGTAGTTAAGATAATCTAGACGAACTTCGGTATAGCACTTCATCATTATTAAAAAAAGGGTGATTTAATTATTTTTGTTGATGATATTCGTAGCGGTCGCATTATGAATTATGGGAATGTTTGAAATTTTGAAGAAAGGACCCGACAAGATCTTTGGGAATCAACCTTATCCTTTTAAATTGGGCCGACACGTTTTATTAACTAAAGGCCCACTAACTTCCATTTCAATGCTTGCTTTGTATACTGGGCCAGCCCAAATTCTATGTAGATTGCAACTCTTTTGGGCTCTGACTGCGTCATTATGGCCATTAATGTATATTTAATAAATTTTTTAATTTTTAATTCTATGGTAAATAGGCTCCTCACAAATTCATAGTTTTAAACAATTATTTGATTTATTGGATATAAATTTTAATTTTATGTATGTGAATTAAAAAAAAAAAAGAAAATTTAAAGAGTAAATATGTAATTAACAAAAAAAAAAAAACAAATATTATATATATATATATATAAATCATACATCGATTGGATAGAAAAACGAAACATTTTTTTTTTTGTAAGGGTGTGGAAATCTTTTCCTACTAAATGTGTTTAAAAAACTGTGAGACTTGAGATGTTACAAATGGTATCAGGTTCGGTCAGTAGATGTTGGACTCTAACAAATGGTATTAAGTCCAGTCACCAGACGGTGCGAGACACTAGTCGGAGTAGAGTGGGACCTTCTCTGCTAGGTCAAATTACTAGATGTCGAGCTGTTACATATGATATCAGGTCCAGTTACCGGACGATGCAAGACACTGATTAGTGTATGGTGAGGCCTTCTACCATATAAGGTATAGTCACTAGATACTAGGCTTTTACAAATGATATTAGGTCTAGTTACCAGACAGTGCGAGTCACTAGTTGGAGTAGAGCAGGACTTACTCCAATATTAGGTACGGTCACCATATGCCTAGTTGTTACAAGTGATATCAAGTACATTCACAAGCGGGTGGGGGGCACTGATCATAGTAGGGCGGGACATTTTCCTGTATCAGGTCCAGTCACCGGACATTGCAAGACATTGAGCGAAGTAGGGAGAGACCTTCAACGCATCAGGTACAGACACTAGATGTTGAACTGTTACAAAATGATATTTGGTCCATTCATTAGACAGTACGAAGCATCATCGGAATAGGGCAGGACCTTCTCCAGTATCAGGTTTAGTGATCAGACGCTAGACTGTTGCAAATAGTATCAGATCCAATCATCGAGCAGTGGGTCGGTAGATTTTCAATCACGTGAAAATGGAACTAATTGGAAAAAGGAAAAGAAAAACAGCAAAATTGTAAAGAAAAGAAGGGTGAGAGAGAGAGAGAGAGAGAGGTCGACCATTTCGTTTTCCGTCTCTCTCGTCTCGCTCTGCAAAAGGACTGTACACACTGCACCGTACTTCCTTCTCTGTACCTGCTTCTTATGCTTTTCTCTCTGCCTTCCCTCTTCTTCAAAAAATCAAACCAGACGCCATTCCTTCTTCCTTCCCTCCATTTATTCCTCTTCATTTCACCATAAACCAAGAGTTTGGAGCTCTGCTTTCAATGCTGCATCATCTTGCCTTCCTAAGGTATTCTCCGTTTTTAGAATGTAGGTAGTTTTGCAGCAGCAGCAGCAGCAGAAAAACTCTATTCAGAGTTTCATCCCGGGGTGCAGATTTGAGAGCAGTGAGATTCTTGTGTTCGGGAAGTGGAATGGGGAAAACCGGTGACGGCGGCGATATGGAGAACGACGGTGGGGTTAGGGCGGAGATTGATACTTCGGCGCCGTTCGAATCGGTGAAAGAGGCGGTCAGTAGGTTTGGTGGAAGCGGCTTTTGGAAACCCTCTCACAGTCAAGGTCACAGTCACAGCCACAGTCACAGCCATTGTCACAGCCAGCCATCCGAACATGAGGTTTCTTCCTTCCACCTCTGAATGTAGATTTTGTTTAGGGAAAACGATGTCGTTTATTTTGGAATTCTATGAACTCTAGTTAAATAGACAATTTCGATCAAGAGCTTGTGTTAGAAATATCTCTGCAAATTTTGGCATTGTTATGTATAGTGACTTTTCTTGTTTTTTTGTTGTTGGTTTATTTTTGTTGTATCCTGTAGGTATTGATTCGAGCTATTTATATGTTTTTTAGCCTGTTTGTAGATAGGATGAAACTAGAGGCCTCATTTCAAGTTTTTGTTTTCAATTTCAATTTCAGCTATGAAACTAGAGGGTTCAGAATTGGTTGGTTGGGTTTAGCTTTAAAGGATGAACTCATGTTTGTTCCTCGGGTTTGTCAAGCTTGGAGTCGATTGGATAAATCCATGAGTTTCAATACTTTCTCACCCCCAAATTCACCTCTGACATGGTTTTCTTAAGCCTATGCTGCCTCAACTTAGACTCAAAGCATAGGTTTCATCATACTAAGTTTTCAGAACCCTCCAAGTGTTCACATTTTCAAGCCTAAGATGCCAAACAGACACTCTTATGGGTGTTTGAGCTGAGAGTTTGGGCTTTGTTGAGTTTCATATTGGCTTAAGAAACCCAACCCATGTTTGTCTCGGGCATTTGTCGAGCCTTGAGTTAGTTGAACAAACCTATAAGTTTCTGCACTTCCTAAAACTACTCCCTTGCATGATTTTCCTTAGGATTCCCTAAACTAGGTTTTCAAGCCCAGGCTTCTTAGTCCCTCTATTGTTTTTCTTAAGCTTTATGTTACCAGATGTCACGGTCATACTTGTCTAAGGCGTGATTGTCCATGATCGTATGTCCATTGCATGCCAAAACTCTTGCCTTGTATCACTTTATTGCTTTCCTTTAATGCTTTCATGATGTATTTTCTAAGTTTTTGACGTTTCGGCAAAATCATGTCTACGATGGGTAGACATGAAATACCCTAGAATGTAATATAGGGGGGTGACCAGTAGTCAACTCCTCCTACCTAGATTTTGTATGACCATTTGACGATATCACGTCTAGGCTTGCCAGACCTGAATTGCCTCAAAATGTACTATAGAGGGGATGCGACTAGTTGTCAAATTCTCCCTGCCCTAAAAGTTATATGCTAATTAAGTCATTGTGCTGCCTTTTGCTTGTAGTTATATAACGTTGCTTTCAATCTTTCTTTCAACCTTGCTTTCAAACTCCCCTTTCGAAAATTTCTTTGCGTCCGTTTTCTAAAACCTTCTCCTCAAAAAAGGGTCAGAGGCTTGAGCATACGTTGCCCTGTTCTAGGCGATGCGATCCCAAGTTGGCTTGACTCACTCAGTATTGAGAGTGAGTGACGCACAATCGTAATAATCCGCTGCTAAAAAAAGTACGATTGTGACACTAGGCTTGATTCTGAATCTGCTCCCTTAATGTTCGTTGGAGCTGGAAATGCTGTTTGCAACCTCTCCTTATAGACTTGTGGTGTCCCTGAAACGATTGTAAAAGATTTATCATTGTGTTTGTTTTTATTCAGAAAATAACACTGTCTGCTTCTCTCAAGAATCAAAGGCAATCTGTTTAACTGGTTTTTATTTGTATTATATTCAGATATTGTATAATATATGGCCTACACGGACATCCAGCGCTGACTAATGTAGAATTAAGTGTACCATGACTTGTTTGCTAATCAATCTGGTATGTCTTCTTTTTTCTTCTTCATCATTAGCATGATAAGGACGAGGTCGACATTGACATTACAATACTGGAGAAGCAGGCAAAGAACATGGAGAGTGATTTGATTGTCAAGGAAAGGGAGACCCTGGAAGTCTTAAAAGAACTCGAAGCGACCAAGAAGATTGTGGAAGATTTGAAACAGAAGCTGCAGAAAGAAGCATTTGAAGTTAGTGCGACTCGGGAAGCGACGAGAGGTGATATGAATGTAACTGCTGCTAAAGAAGCAGTTAACGAAAACGTCGGGCCCGACGGTCAAGGTCAGAATGTGCAAATATCCCCTCCAGCACCTGGTTTAAT